AAAAAAACTAAAATCGTGCATAAATTACCAACGTCTAAAAGTGTTTTTTGTTATCGAAAAGCCTTTGATGTGAGAAATTATTGTTCGAAACAAATCTTATGATAAGATTAAAATGGATCAAGTTCCAATCAATTTTGCTAAAATAAAAAAATAAAGCAAAAGCAAAGAAACAATGAATATCGTAATATTTTAGTGATAATTGTGATGTATTTGTTAGGAAAACTTTTTGACCTTTATTATGTCTAGATTATCAATTGATAAGAGGCATGAATTGATAAATTATTAGTTGGTAGGACTTAATTAAGTATTGTGAATTGTGAATTAAGGCATAAATTGATAAGTTATTAATTGATAGGACTTAATTAGGTATTGCCTCATTACATCTTTTAATTAATGAAAGAAAATCCATTTTCTTCTGCTCTTTTTTTTCTTTTTTTGTTCAAACTTCGGATATAAATTGTTGAATTCATTATTATCATTATGGAAAAGGAAAGAAATTTAATCATCATTTAATTTCTTATCCCCATGAAATAGCTGAATGTTTGGATTGTACTTAAGTTCCTTGATAAGTTATATAATTTAAGTCAAAGATTGTATAAGAATGTATTTGTTAAGAGTTACTGTAGATAGTTGTAACCGTACATTATGGTCTGTTTGAACTACAAGGATATACTGTTACGAGTTACCGTAGGTGTGCTTATACTTATACAGTAATTTCAATCATACTTTGTGAAATGATCTATTCGAATTATTACTAATAATTAAATACAATTTTGAGGAGTATTTAAAATTAAATGAGAAATGAAGGAAATAGGAAATGATTGTGCTATGAAAAGTTTGACGAAAAAGTTCTTCTTTTTTCTTTTCATTTTTCTTTTTATTTTTCCTGATTTAATTCAAATTTTATGTTAATATTATTTTGTTTCATCTAATTCAATTAATTTGTCAAAGCAATTCTGGTTAATGAATGGTGAAGGTCAACGAGTGTGATTTTATACCTTCTCTTTTCATTGATTATTTTTATTTCATTTAAATTTTGAAAAAAATTTTTCATTTTCGAAAAGAAAAGCCGTTTATAAAGGCAAATCATCAAATTGCGCTTGTCTTCCTCGGTCCTCTATATTTTACCGGTCTGTCATTGTCCACTACACATATACACACACATACACATACACCACATATACACACACATACACATACACATATGCGTACACACACACACACACACACACACACACATACATACATACAACACGTTATACACATACACATATAACTGATCTTTGTCTTTTGTTTGATTTTAATTTCCTCTCATTTCCTTCCTATCTATCTTCAAATAGGATTTGAGGATTTCGTTGATAGGATTTTCTGTCACTTGTAATTTATCATAGAAAGTAAGATGAAAGGTACAGGAAGAGTGACAGGAAGATGATAAGATTTATTAGTCTTTTTTTTTTGTATATCGTTCTTTTTGATGAAAATTTTTATTTTGTTAATCATATTTCATCTTAATATAACTTATTTAAAAAATTTTTAATATAACTTTTAGAAATTGCTATTGGCAAATATTTGCATTTTTGAAAATTAAAATTTACAATGGAAATTTAAAACGACCAGAATTTATAAAATGAAATTCACATTATCTATTCATTTATGGAAATGGAAAAATTTAACATAGATATGTATATATATATATAGCGGAAAATAATGGAATTTGAAAATTGAAATTAAAAATGAAAGAGCGATAAGCAACCAGAATTTATGTAATAAAATTCATATCTATTCATTTAATCTATTCATTTAAGGGAATGGAAAAACTATTGTATATATCTATATATTCTTATTTATTTTATTTATTTAATAAAATTTGATAAAATCTCTTAGATTTTCTCAATTTAATAAAAGATTCAACGTTTTTTCTTTTTTTTGTTGTGAAAAATTTTGAAATGACATTATGATAAAAAAAATTTTTGACTATTAATTATTTTGACTAATTTATTAATTATTTTTATCATTGTCTTATGCCTATTGCGTTCGCTTCCTTCTTTTATCCTCTGTGTAAAAAAAAAATTTTTTTTTAACAAAACTTGAAATTTCAGAAGTACGCTTTAACAAGAATCGACAACTAAACCGGCAAGTCTTACTAACCCTACATGAACCGTAACATCGAATCGGTAATTGATGATGCCGTTGCACTAATCAGCTCATTGAATTCTTCTTCACCAAATTCTATTCCACCGTATAATGTTAGTGTCTTTTCTTTAATTAATTTCAAATTTAAAAAGAAAAATTAAGCGAAAAGGGACGGATCGTTTACAAAGTTAAGTGGTTTACAAAATTAAGTACGTTTTCATAAAATTAAGTTAAATTGATTTATTTTTTTGGGGCATAAATTACAATATAGGGATTGAAAATATTGAAAGACTGATAATAATATTAGTGTTTGGTACAGTTCCGAGAAATTTTTCTAATTTCAGGTTGATGCGATGAAAAAATGTATCACTAATATTAACAAACTGTACAAGAAAAATGCAGATGATTTGTGAGCAATTAATTTAATTAATTAGTTAACCGAACTTCGAGGCATTGCTGTTATTTTTATAATTCATGGCAAAAATATTTTCTAATAGTTTATTGATAATTTTGAAAGAAACGACAAAATAGTCAATATTGACATTCAGTCGTATAATAATTTTCAACTTGTAAAGAAAAAAAAATAAATTCCTGATAAAAAATGATATATTGTGGAATAGTGTCATCTAATATGAGTAATTTATCGATTTTTGTATTTATTAATCTTGAACAATGAAAATTTTTAGGATGATTTTAAAATCAGGTTCCATATCGGAAAAGGCCAGAAAACAGGAAGTAGCAGTAATAGCAAATGCTAGGCAAGGTTGTATTGAATATATCAAACGATGCTGTTGTACTTATTTACATGAACGTATGTTACGAGTAAAACATTTACGTTGGAAATATGGTGGTCATATACCTGAAAAAATGAAGGTATCTTTTTTTTTTTTCAGCTATTCATTATCTATCCTTTTCCAGATTTATATAGCTTTTCGCTTATCACTTATTATTTAACATGTATGTTGATGTTAAAATTTTTTATTAAGGTATCTTCTTTTGAGGATTTTTTTTAGGAAAAAATATGACTTAAACTTCTTGTTTAATTATCCTCCATATTATATCAGTTTTTTCCAATAAAAAAAGAAATTCTTTTTAACGTTTCAATCCATAAGCTGTGTTAAAAGTTATCTCAGTATTGTTGATATTTTGCGCCGAAAGATATTTAACAAATATTCAACTTATTCCAGATATTCAAAGAAGCAGTGAAGCTCAAAATTTTGCTTAGATTATTCCGGAAACGGACTGCAAATATTGTCTCTTCATGTTATTCATCAAATTCATAATAGATATTCGAGGAATTAGATTAGGGGCATGTAGTTCATGTATGTGGGAAGTTTAAGCGGAATTTGTTTTCAGTTTTACTTACCCACAAAAATGACTCTATGAGGATATTTTCATCTCCCGACAGATAATTTAAAAGTTATTATGAGCAAAATTGAAAATGTTAATTATAAAATAATTCTAATCATTTCATCAAAATTGGAACCAATATTTTACCGTTTTTTATTTTCTTTTTTATTTTTCTTTGTTTTTTCTTTTTCATCTGTCCCTACAGAACTAATTAGTTTTCAGGAAAATCTATGTGATGCAGAACTGAAATGGTTACAGGAATACAACAATCTTCTTGCCGATTTTCAAAGTTCACTTGGTGAAAACGGAGTGAATTTATTGTTGAATATGAAACCGCCTCATAATTTATTTGTCAAGGTTATACTTCTTTCAATTTACCCATCTTTTTTTTTTCTTCCATTTTCTGTTGATTTGGCTCATTTTTGCACTTCACTATATCGTTGTTTTATTCGTTTTCTTTTTTGAATTTGCTTAATCATAATTTTTTTTCCATATTTTTTATAAGTTCATGCAAACAAATTAAATTAAAATGCAACTAAATTAAAATATTAAAATAAGTTACATACAGGAAATTGTCACATCAATTCCAATTTGATGTTTTTTTTTTCCTAGGTTCGTGCTAAGCAAAATATTGGTTCATTTGAATTAAGCGATGGAACAACCGTTTCTCTTACTGAAAATGCATTGGTATAGCATTTTTTTTTTGTTTTTCCGTTTTCCAAAAATTTTAATTGAGATTTAATTTTGATTAAAGTCAAAAATTCTGGATAAAAAAATTTCGAAATTCCTTATTTAAAATTTCTTGCTTGATAACATTTTACTTGTACTTTTTACTTGGAATTTTTGATACTGAATTATTGCTTAGGTCAAAACATGCTAGTGGATATTATCATTAAAAAGGAATTTTTGATATTCAATTTAAAAGAAAAAAAATTAAATCAAACGGATAGATCAATCGGTGACAATTTTGTTTGTAGGCCACATTATAAGAGGATTAATTTTTAAAATTTAATTTAAACGAAAAAAATAAAAGTGAATGAATAAGTCAATCAATGATTATTTTTTCTTTCTTCCTTTCTTTTTTTTTTTACTAGCACTCATTACCTGTGGCTGATTGCGAGATGTTAATTAGGCAAGGAATATTGGAGCTCGTTGAATAATGATTTGAAAATTTAAACTGTGATATTTATGTATATGTATATGTGATTGTTTATGTCTCTTTGTATAAGTTGTCATTTATTATATTTCTTGAAATATTTTGAATAGATTATTCTGAAATGTTTTGAATATTTTGAATGGATTATTCTGATAGTTTTATTGAACAAAAAAAAGTGCTGGAAAAGTTTAGGTTTTACATAAAAGATAAGATGATTCAATAAATGAATTTGAATTGAATTGAAATGGATTGCTCATATCTATAAATGGTACTTACTTATCATTTATTATATATCAACAGTGACCTTGACCTTGACCTTTTCCCTCCTCTTGTTCTTTTTCTTTTAAAAAATACAAAATTTGATCATACAATTAGGAAGGAGAACTTCTCGATGAAAATGCCATAGAGTTTTATTGAAAAGAGAAAGGGAGAGAGAGAGAGAGAGGGAGAGAGGAGGAAAGGTAAATTTGTCTACCTTAGCATATTTCGAAAAATCACAGTTAGAACATTTAATTAGCAAATGAATTGCTATTCATAAAGTAATTATTCGATAATTCCTAAGCAAGCATTTGTCTGTATATCGTGCATAACGTTCACGTTAGGTTAGAGTATTTAATTGGGATATTTAATTAGTGAGCTAATTATTCATAAGAGAAATCATTCAATAATGCCTAAAGTATGCACCTTATTTATATATCGTTATCCAACGTTTACATTAGAATGCGTTTTTAGGGTCACTTACAATTGACCTAACATTTACGTTAGGCCGTACCTTTCGGGGTCACTTACAATCAATAGCAGCTTGACATATACGTTTTGCACGTATTTCAAAAATCATTTATAATTCACAACGTGCATTTTTTTTTTCAAAATTTTCAATCATGATATTTCCCGCGCATCTCAACTCTTTGCAACAAAATTCGATGAAAGAGAAGCGGGAAAATGCGCGACGCTATTAATAAAGAGGGCAAATTGATGCGACAAGATCGGACGAGTAGGACACAATGGTGTATGTATCTATCTATATGTTATATACATATGTATATACGTGTGTGTACGTGTGTGTGTGTGTATGAGTGTTTGTGTCTGTCTGTCTATGTGCGTGTATATCTACGTAACCATATGTTAATGGGCGTATACACAATCCTCTGAGAAATTTCCAAATATTTTGGCGCCAATTTTTGGCTAACCTAAATGTGTCATTGTCGACTTGGTAATTTCCTATCTATCCATGTGTCTGTCTGTCTGTCTACCTATCTATCTGTCCATCTGTTTTGTCATCATTCATCCTCGCGCATTCCATTAAAAACTAGACGAAACGGTTTGCGCTCAACAGAATCGGTTGGTTGATCAATTCCAGTCGGTCAGTTTTAGCCATTGAATCATCCAAAGTATGTGAATGTATGAGAATTTGATTAGATTGCTTAGTGTACTATTATTGGTTTTGGTTTGAGCGCTTTACAGGCATTTTCCTTCTTTCTTCCTACTTTTTTTTTCTTTTCATACACCAAAGAAATATCATTTCTTACAACTTTTTTCTTTCCGGTACCGGAATTCATTCCTGAAATTTACATTATATTTCATACGATATATTTGAATGATTGATTGAATTCGCCCAAATCTTAGCAATCATTTTAAAGTTGTAAAATAAACAAATTCCGGTTAATTTGTAATACGGAAGGATTATTGTATTAGGGAACTAAGAAATAGAAATGTTAATTTTGATTGGTTTTTTTTCTCCCTTTAAATATAAATGAATTATAAGTTATAGTATGGAATGAAAAGTTTTTAAAAAAATCTTTATAACCTAAATTTTCATTTTCTTACTAAAATTTCTATTTTGAAATCTTTTAGATAAAACGAAATGTTAGGATAGGATTAACCGGAATTGTTACTATTCAGGAATGTCGTATTCATTCCATATTCATCCTGTCATTCATATCTTCATGATAAATATATCAAATCCTTCATTTCCTGTATCTTTCATGATTCATCGGTCATTTCATTACTTTGATACATACATGTATAGTTGATGTGAACATGATAAGTCTTCCTTACCGCCAATGCATATTCAAATCATTTACTACACTTCCTCATATGTGTGTATATGGGATACGCCAATGCGCAATCTCACACCATCTTCGGTTTTTTTTTCCCTACCTCTTACAATTCGTCCCCCACATCATTCATCCCGCAGGATGTATGTGTGTGTGGGTATGTGTATGATATGTGTGTGTGTGTGTGGGTGTGTGTATGTACGTGTGTGTGAATGATATGAGGTGTAAGAGGAAGAAGATGGAGGTCGAATGATCTGGTCCGATACAACCGATAAAGGAGGAGAAGGCGGAGGTAGAGGAGGTTAAGGGTGCCGTTGAGGAAGAACAATGAGGATGGTCCGAGGAGTGCGGAGGGAAGAAAGAAGAAATAACCTCTACCCAATCATTACCCTCTTCTTTCATTCTTAATCTACCTCTACCTCTACCCTTACCCTTTACTCTTACTCTTGTCCTTACTATTACTACTACTATCACTACTACCATCAACATCATTCTTTTTGTAAGTATACATCTGCTTGGGCGTATATCATCAGAATACATTTCCCGTGATTGCATGTATGCATACTCGATACAAAGGGACGATTTTTTTTTTAACTCGCCCACGGTTCGTTAAATAATGACATCTTATGGTATTGATAGGTTTTATTTGATAGAAGTACTTTGGTGGTAAAAGATGACAAGTGTGGATAATAACAATCCGGTACTTTAGTGATTAAAAGATAATGAGTATGGGTGTAGTAATAATTCGATACTTGAATAGTAAAAGATAGTAAGCGTGGGAGTAGTAGTAACTCGTTTATTAGATTATGTATCAGTTTGATAAACTATTAATTGACAAGGAAGAAAATGATCATATCACGATACTAACATTGTCTAAGATTAGTGTCATGTCATAATATTAACTTTAGGTAATGAAATGTTGACACAATATATTTACAATTTGTAAATTAATATAGATAGGAATTTGAATTTCTCTTCCTTTTACTCATTTCCAATTGAATTCTAATTATAGTCAATTTCCTTTTTCCTTTAAAATCTTTTCCTTTCTATTATTTCTTCCAATGTTTGACACAGATTTGTACTATATGATGAAGTATATTTTTAGCAATGTATTTCTACATTTCCTTTTCTTCTTTTTTTCTTTTAACTCTGTTCATTACCATTTTCAAAAGGAAAAGAATGGAGATTAACATTTCTTCCTCTCTTCTTTTCCTTCTTTTGTCATCATTGTTCCTCTTTATCGGTAGCTTTGACCTTAGTTGGAAGCTGAAATAGTTTTTTTTCCTCTTTCTACCTCGTTCATAGAATTGCAATCATTTAGGAAAGAAATAATGAAAAATAGTGAAGTGTTTTCACTAAAGAGAAGACCCAATTAATCGATTCTTTCTCTCCCCCCTCTCTCTCTCTCTCTCTC